AGCAGAAAAAGGAAGTAACAAACCCACACTGCAGAGGTGCAGATAAAAAAGAACTTTTATCTAACTATCCCATATAATGCCTTATACTTGTGCCATACCTTGCACTGTTCTTCCCACTCTTCTTTTGATGATGCTGCATACTTGCAGACCTAAATTTAGTGGATTTAGATGTTTGCCATATTCTTGTTTAACGATAAATTTGGAGACTACCAGAAGAATAGTAGTTTTCAGATACTATTATTAATAATAAACACTCAAGCAAATCAGATTCAATATCCAAAATGGGATAGTAAGTTCATGCGGATGGGATCCAAATCATTGTATATACAAGACAAGGTCTACGAGGAATTGCACAAAAGTGAAGTATTAAGTAAAAAAAATGCTAAGACCAGATTGGAATTCAGTAAAATGCAATTAGAATAACAACAACAACAAATCCTCATCCCACAAAGTGGAACTCAGTAAAGTGGAATTAGAATGATTCCATTCAATTCTGAGATTATACCGATGGTCCTAATTAATATCTTACAAATCCACGGATTTGTCTCTTATGACTACCTTAGGGGAACACTTTGATCATACATCCCCAAAGCCCACTAACTGCTTATCCATTGCTTAACAGCAACTAAAGCCATACAACTACCAGTCCATCATCAAGAACGAGCAAATTCTTTCTAAGCATCTTGAGAAAGAAAAGAAAAGTTCCTCAAGTAATCAAGTAGCCATACCTAATGTAAATTAACAGGAGGCCTAACTTCCATAAAGAAAACATAAGCAAGTAAACAAATTAATAGATGATTTATAAGTCATATAGTTTGACAACGAGCTAATTAACTTGTAATGTAAATTTATTGATTGCGCAATATTTTTAAAATTGAAACATTGAAGTTTACATTCTGAAATAAAACAACAACAACAATAACAAAGTCTTATCCCACTAAGTGGGGTCATTATAATGTCTAAAATATTACACTAGATAATAAGAATGGACGATACAGTAGATAATCAAACTTAAAGAGCTAATTAATTAGTCATTATAATGTATTTGATCATGAAAGAATAAAAAAATATTACACTTCGATAATAAGAATGGACGATATATTTGTTTAGATTATTTGTTATTTGTGCTTTTATTACTTTGAGAAAAAAAAAGTAGTAATTAAACATGATTGAAAGAGGAAAAGGAAGACACACTTTTGTGATAAAGGGACTCAAACTGGTAGGAATTCATCAGCTCCCGTACATCATTCTGAATGCTGTCCAACTGATTACCATTCTGAGAAGCTAGACATAAGATCACAGACAACTGAGTTTCTCCTGTAAAGTAAACTGATAGTCAACGGTGTATTTGATACACCCCAAAGATAAGATAATAAGAACAATGTGGTCACCATGACCCCCCACATCAGGGCAATATCAAGTAGGAGTTGGAAATGTGCACAATTGTTGGACAGATTTTTGTAGATATGCTAGGATAACAAGAGATTCATACCCCATTTGGTCAAGCTGATGATTATTGTGTTCTGATAGACACGTTTGCAAGGATATTAAAGGTAACTTAGGACATAACGCCCCAATCCACCATAGAGAGGTGTAGTTTTGTTTGACTAATTGCTTTGAGCCTCGTGGTTAGGCAATCTTCTGCGGCCCTTCCCTCAGTAAATAATCTTTTGTCTGACCAATGAAATGCAATGAAGAAAATCTTGTTCATTGGTTAAGAATATGAACATCTCCGATTTGCTACCGATGAACCCCTTTTAATCGAGTCCAGGTCACACTCAAACATAACATTTTAATAATCGTGTCGACCCGAACACTTTTTCATTTTGTGTTGTGTCGTGTCGGATTATTGGATCGTATCAGGAATTATCAGACTTAGTCGGTCAACATTTTGTTGTAAAGCGTTACATCAACTTTTACAAGTTTAGTATAAAACTTAGTTTCATAGCGTAGAATAAACTAAGAATCAAGATTATGATCAACTCCTTTAAGGTCATTTATCTTTTATCATTATTGTTAAATGGAAAAGTAAATATCTCCTCAATTGTATGCTATTATTGTCCTCAAACTGATTCTGATCCATGCATGTCGAACAGCAGTAGCACTAAGACTACAACAGGGTACTGGCTGAAAAATAAGTAAATAACAAGACTGCAAGAGAGAACAAAAATAAATTCATCCTAACCCTTCCATTTCATTTAGGAATTTTTAAAATAGTAGCGTCATTTTGAATATTTAAAAGCATATCAGAAAAGCATGACATAAATACTACTGAAAGCACATTGCTGATATGAGATCGAGCAAATATAATTGTGTGTGTGTGTGTGAGAGAGAGAGAGTAATACTTTACCGAAATATCACCAGACTTTGCCAACTGAATAGCATACTTCATGAAGCTGAAGACCGAATGTGAGTCCTCTTCACTGAATCCAGTAATGCCTTCGATATTACTGTATTTAAAAGGTAAAGGACAAACAAAAAAACGAGTCAGGACAATATTAAACAAATATGACTTGGCATTTGTGTTCTGGGAATGCAGAACGAGGAGCCCCCAGCTGAAAAAGGAAGTAACAAACCCACACTGCAGAGGTGCAGATAAAAAAGAACTTTTATCTAACTATCCCATATAATGCCTTATACTTGTGCCATACCTTGCACTGTTCTTCCCACTCTTCTTTTGATGATGCTGCATACTTGCAGACCTAAATTTAGTGGATTTAGATGTTTGCCATATTCTTGTTTAACGATAAATTTGGAGACTACCAGAAGAATAGTAGTTTTCAGATACTATTATTAATAATAAACACTCAAGCAAATCAGATTCAATATCCAAAATGGGATAGTAAGTTCATGCGGATGGGATCCAAATCATTGTATATACAAGACAAGGTCTACGAGGAATTGCGCAAAAGTGAAGTATTAAGTAAAAAAAATGCTAAGACCAGATTGGAATTCAGTAAAATGCAATTAGAATAACAACAACAACAACAAATCCTCATCCCACAAAGTGGAACTCAGTAAAGTGGAATTAGAATGATTCCATTCAATTCTGAGATTATACCGATGGTCCTAATTAATATCTTACAAATCCACGGATTTGTCTCTTATGACTACCTTAGGGGAACACTTTGATCATACATCCCCAAAGCCCACTAACTGCTTATCCATTGCTTAACAGCAACTAAAGCCATAAAACTACCAGTCCATCATCAAGAACGAGCAAATTCTTTCTAAGCATCTTGAGAAAGAAAAGAAAAGTTCCTCAAGTAATCAAGTAGCCATACCTAATGTAAATTAACAGGAGGCCTAACTTCCATAAAGAAAACATAAGCAAGTAAACAAATTAATAGATGATTTATAAGTCATATAGTTTGACAACGAGCTAATTAACTTGTAATGTAAATTTATTGATTGTGCAATATTTTTAAAATTGAAACATTGAAGTTTACATTCTGAAATAAAACAACAGCAACAATACAAAGTCTTATCCCACTAAGTGGGGTCATTATAATGTCTAAAATATTGCACTAGATAATAAGAATGGACGATACAGTAGATAATCAAACTTAAAGAGCTAATTAATTAGTCATTATAAAAATATTACACTTCGATAATAAGAATGGACGATACATTTGTTTAGATTATTTGTTATTTGTGCTTTTATTACTTTGAGAAAAAAAAAAAGTAGTAATTAAACATGATTGAAAGAGGAAAAGGAAGACACACTTTTGTGATAAAGGGACTCAAACTGGTAGGAATTCATCAGCTCCCGTACATCATTCGGAATGCTGTCCAACTGATTACCATTCTGAGAAGCTAGACATAAGATCACAGACGACTGAGTTTCTCCTGTAAAGTAAACTGATAGTCAACGGTGTATTTGATACACCCCAAAGATAAGATAATAAGAACAATGTGGTCACCATGACCCCCCACATCAGGGCAATATCAAGTAGGAGTTGGAAATGTGCACAATTGTTGGACAGATTTTTGTAGATATGCTAGGATAACAAGAGATTCATACCCCATTTGGTCAAGCTGATGATTATTGTGTTCTGATAGACACGTTTGCAAGGATATTAAAGGTAACTTAGGACATAACGCCCCAATCCACCATAGAGAGGTGTAGTTTTGTTTGACTAATTGCTTTGAGCCTCGTGGTTAGGCAATCTTCTGCGGCCCTTCCCTCAGTAAATAATCTTTTGTCTGACCAATGAAATGCAATGAAGAAAATCTTGTTCATTGGTTAAGAATATGAACATCTCCGATTTGCTACCGATGAACCCTTTTTAATCGAGTCCAGGTCACACTCAAACATAACATTTTAATAACTAACTAGCATAAATTTAAGATTTATCAGTTTTATTCAAAATCATTAAAAAAGTTGCAGTGAATAAAATGAATACTTAATGAACCACAGAATAAACCGCATCTGGTATAGACCGAAAAACACAATTAGCAGTAAAAAGATGCTCAATGCATCAACTATACTGAATTGGTTTCTTGTTTTTGTTGTTTGTAAAAATTGAATTGGAAAGGAATTAATTCTCATAAAAGGGGGTTGAGGGTTTAAGAGAGAGAGAGAGAGAGAGAGAGAGAGAGAGCTCCTTAAACAAATTTCTTGTGCACTCTGCTTGAGGTGTCGGAGATTTTCCTGCGGCGCTATTTGGTTCAAACAATAGTAAGAAAGAATGTAAAGAATTGGGACATAGCCTGCCGGCAGCAAAGGAAACCAAGCTTACCAAACGAGACTGTTGGCAAAGTTAGGGTGTATGACTGAAGCAATGGCATCCACCGTAGGCTGTTGGTCAGGAGGGATTGGGATTGGTGGGTTATCCGACGGGTCACTCAAACTAAAATCGTTGAAACATATTAGCAGTTTTGTTGTTTTCTTTCGATTGCTTAATGCATTGCGAGCTCAATTGACTCACAAGAATTCACTCCATCACTTCCTTGCTTCCTGTTGTCGGATATATAACAACAATTGGTGGCACTTGAACTATCAAAATTCAACAAGTACATAATATCATATAATTAGATACCAACCGAATCTATTAACTCACTTTAAACCCCCTACTTTTAGCTTTAAAGTTACATATATATCATGCTGAAAATAATCACTTAAGCGTTCTAAGCCAAAAGAAAAGCCTACACCAGGTCAAATAAGCTTTTGGCAACACAGCAAAATACACCATACACCACCATAAGTCCATAACAAGTCCATCCTAGTAGGAACCCAAATTTGCAAGTCCAAGTTCCTTTAGCTTGTCATAAAGATGAGATTCGAGAGGTGGACTTCATCTATCCCACTCCTCCAAAAGCTGTGGAACCGCCTTTGATTCTTGCCCTCCTCCACCACCACCACCTGCTGGCATCTTGTTCGTCAATCTATCCCAACCCATGATGTGGGGCAATGCAAACTGCATGAGAAATATTCATTTTCTTACAAGCATTACAATTTTATTGAAATATTAAAGTGCATATCAATCATTGTTTTTCCAGTTATAGAAAACTTCAAATTTATAGTCATGTCATACACTGCAAGCAGTCTTCATAACAGCAAATTCAGCAGTCGTGACAGGAACTGAGAAACTCTCTCTGGTCTTTAGCAGGTTGTTGACAACAGCTGCCAATGAAAACGGGAGGAAAACGTCAACTCAGATAGCAGCAATCCCCACATCAGCAAATGACTCAAAAACTTAATTTTATATTAAGTTTCAGTAACCAAAAAGCACACGTATGTGATAATCAATACATCAAAACTTCCAAGTCACTTGGTCAGATTTTAAGTCGATGCCTGGATATATCGCAACTTCAAATATTATTCTTATTATATATAAAGCACGTACAAAGTAACAAATACGAGAAGATAATCCACTTATTAGGGACTTCACATTCATTAAGTACACAAGAGAATATGAGAAGATATAACACGCTTACTTAAGGAAACAAAGTAGCCACTGCCATCCGCATGAGGCTTAATTGATAAGCTCTTCCTCACTTGACCAGCATTACTGTAGCACGGATTGCTCATTAAAGTCTAACTATCTATTTCCAAAAATAATAACAATTTTAGGAAAAAAAGAAAGGATAAAAAAGTGACACTTTCATATTAAAGCACCATGATCGATATTATGCCATCTGAAAATTGGTTTGAACTTTGATCAAAATCCAGTTCTTTCCATGACGTATGAAAAAAGAAATAAACCCTTGTTACATATGTTTCCACAATAGTGGGAGGAAAATCAACCTTGATTTCATTGAGGGATCATGAAATAGTTCACAAGAATCATTGGGACCCAAGCTTATCAGAGCGCCAACCTCTGTAGCTGATAAAGCAAACATCTGGAAGCAAATGTCATTGAAATTATAAGTCAAGCAGCATGAAGAGAGAGAAGTTCGGGAAGTAAACAATATATAAATCTACATAATGTAAATAAGAAGAGGTACAGAAGTTACCTGTCTCTTTTCCCAGTCATACTTACGTTCACCAATGGCAGGAGTGAACTTCAACATGACAGAACCACGTCGATCAACTACAAGACTTCCAGACTATGCAATACAAAAGGAGACGAATGAGGAGATATGGTATTGTCTCCCTTCAAAAGACATGAGATCAATGAAATTACGAATGAAAAGAGACGTGCGTACTTCCAATTTAGTGAATGTTGGAAGAACAGGAGTCAAAGAGAGGGCAGCTTTGCCTTTGAAGATATCAAAAGAAGCATATACTTGATGAGAACTGGGACCTGAAGGTTCAGGATCAAAAGGTAAAACTTGATCTGTGAGGAGAAAACCATATAAGAGGTAAAACTAGAAATACTAACTGCATAAACTAATTACCTTTAACAGAAAATTTCTGAGTGGCAGTTGAAAATCTGGTGATATGAGTAAAAGCATACATTGATAAAGCATCTCTAGTGCAGAAATGGCTCCTGGTTTCCACAAAGAAAATCAGAACAATAATAAGAGAGACGGAAGAATGGAGCGTAATCTTAGGAACGGGATTCAATGGAAGAACCATTCAAAAACTTACATTCTTAAGAAAGAATTATCGCATGATTTTCACCTTAAATTAAAACAATAGCAAAAAGGATGGAGATGTTCTTCTATTACAAGAATTGGGTTTTACGGATTTACCAATGGGAACCAGAAATAACTGGAAGTAGATAGTATCTAGTATCAACACAAATAAACTGGCAGAATTTAATGATACCAGATTAAATTAGATTTTGAAATTAACAAAACATTGCCACTCAAAGTTTCAGCCTTCACATCCAATACACCTATCGATTTGCAAAAAGGAACCAAATTTTCATTTCTTGGCAGCCAGATTCGATCAATCATGCTTACATTTTTCAGGGTTTTAAAAACAGATAAATTGTAAGGGTTTTTCCTTTTTCTTTCAAAGTAAAACAGAAATTAGTACAAGAAAAAACGGGAAGAGAAATGGTACCTGAATTTCGCGGTGGAAGAGGACAAGACGCGCAACACCTTCAACATCTTTGTTGCTCGAGAGAGAGAGAGGGGGGGAATGCCACTGCTCATGCTTCTGCACTTCTGCTTTGATACCTTTGGACTATCGAGACGACTTGCCGTTTTTCTCGACTCAACCGGTCCACACGAGCCAGGGCTTTTTGAGCTTGTTCGGGCCGGCCCGTGACAAGATGGACCGAGCCTTGACTCGCCCCTTTAATCCCTTATGTATTCTCCCAAAAGCAATAGGATTTACGATAACAATGAGGATTCCAAGGATTACAACTACATGGACTAGAAATTTCTGTTTTGCAAAGTAAATATCAATTTGCTGAAAAAAATATCAATTCTTCTATCTACAATGGGGCATCATTTGAAATTTTGATCCGGGCCTTAAAAAACTTAAGGCATATATTGAATTTGATTTGATTCGCTTTAGACTAAAATTGAACTTCTCACATACACATGAGAAGAAATTAATACCACTAAATCGTAAGGCCCTAAAAATGTGTTTTTTTAGTTGATTTTCGATATACTTCTTAAGAGTTTGTTTTACATATTATGCATGCGATGAGGAGCCACTTCATTACAGACTTGTCCACAAGTGTCAGCTTAGGTAGTAAATTAGGACATGCATGACATGAGTAATTAATTGGCAACCCTTTCTCTCACAAAATGTATGTCAAACTCTATATGTTTTGTTCGTTGATGTTGAACAGGATTCAATGTTAAGACTATAGCTGAAAGATTGTCACAGTACAAAGTTGGCGTATCAGAAACTGAAACCTGCAGAAAATTCAATAACTGTTTAATCTAGTCAATCTCAGTTGCAGTAGAAGATAATGCCCTATACTCGGCCTTTGTGGATGATCGAGAGACTGTTTGCTGTTTCTTGGAGGACCATGATATCATATTCAACCCTAGAAAACAACCAAACTAGTGGTGGATCGCCTATCATTAGGATCCTCTACCCAATCTACATCACTAAAAGCTTTGAGATCCAAGTCTCCCTTAACATATTGAATACCGCAGCCCTATGTTGCCCGAAGGTATCTAAGAATTCTCTTGACTACCAGAAAATGAGATTCCATTGGTGCCTGCATGAATTGACTCACTTGATGTACTGCAAAAGCAATATTAGGCCATGTGAAAGTGAGATAACAAAGAGCACCCACTAAACTTCTATACAATGCTGGATTGTTATACGGTTTCCCATCATCCTTCAATGACCTATTGTAAGGTAAACAGGAAGTGGCACACAGCTTGGAAGACAACATGTCAGACTTGGTGAGAAGATCTGTGACATACTTATCTTGAGACAAAAATATCCCATTTGGTTGCTGTACAATCTGTATGCCTAGAAAGTAATGCAATGGTCCTAAATCCTTGATATCAAACTCATTTGCCAAGGCATGAATAACCTCACTAACACATTGACTTGCACTGCCTGTGATGATGATATCATCAACATACAATAAAAGGATCACAATAGAACCACCACCATGCTTGACAAATAGGGAAGAATCATAGTAAGTGGACTGAAACCCCAATGATGGTAGAAACTTGGTAAATCTTTCATTCCATGCCCTAGAGGCTTGTTTCAAACCATATAATGACTTATGAAGCTTGCAAACATAATCACCATGTTTAGAATCAAGGAATCCAGGAGGTTAGGACATATATACCTCTTCTTGAAGAATGTCATGTAAAAAAGCATTTTTCACATCCAATTGTCTTAAAGACCAGCCATAGTGTGCAGCCAAAGCAATAACTTGTCTCACAGTTGTTGGTTTTACCATTGGATCGGAATTCTCCCCATAGTCTATTCCTTCTTCTTGATTGAATCCCTTTACAACTAATCTGGCCTTATATCTTCCTATAGATCCATCAACATTTTTCTTTATTTTGAACACCCATTTGCACCCCCACTAAGTTTTTGTGAGGAGGAAGAGGTACCAAGGACCAAATACCTTGATTATGCAGTGCTGTGAGTTATTTTTTCAATGCATCACACCACACATTAGATTTTAAAGCAGATTTATAGGTAACAGGTTCCATTTTGGTGAGATTAGCCCTCCATGTTCATGTATCACAGACATGAATGCAATTTTCTTAGAAATGCCACTCTTCAATTTAGTTTGCATGGGATGCAAATTGAATGTTGGAACAGGTATGACTACTTGGAGTTAGTCAGGCTGGAATTTAGGTACCACAAAGATAGAATAGCATAAGGACTGATTTGCAGTGCCAGTAATGGTTGTAGCTTCATTGAGATCACCAGTGAGGTAATTGCTAACTGATGTGGCAGATGGCATAGACATACTAGATTCATTTGACAGGTTGTTTGTAGGTATAGGGTGACTCCTAGTGTCCATGAAGGAAATATTTGTGAAAATAAGTTCATTTGAGCAATATCTATGCATGTTATTAACAATTAAAAGGTGGAATCATGCTTGTATGCACTAAAAAACAAAACTTAACCCATGAAATTCAAAACCTAGTAGTTTTGGTGAACCAAGACTCAACTCAAAACAAAATGAGTTCAGAAATCTTATACCTTTGTTGATTCCTCTTTGCATAAGCAAAGCTAATCACCCAAGAGAGAGGGTCTTCATTCCTTTCTTCTTATCTCCATGGATTTCTTGAAGGAGGATGGTAGAATGGATTCTCCAAGTTCCCTAAATGGAGAACCTTTAAGTCTTCACACCAAGGAGAGCATTGATGAAGAGATGAGTGATCTTGGATGAAATAGATGCTAGTAATTTCTCCAAGGTGGCCGGCCTCCTAGAGAGAAAATGACAGCTCGTGTTCTCATCTTTTTCTCCTAAAGAAAACCTTAAGGATGAAATGGCTATAAATTTGCCTTTATACCACCTCACAATCAAGTGGCAAACTTGCAATTAAGCCAAGTTTACTATCCCTCACTCTTATGGCCGGCCATATTGGGTTTTTTGGGCTTTGAGACCTTTTGTGTTTCAGGTTGTCATACAACTTGAGTTAATGGGCTTGACATTCAAATCCCATTGGGCCTTGTGGCCCAAAACTAACCCAAGGTCTATAACGAACATATTCGTTTGATTAATTAACATATTAATTAATCCTAGCCATAAATAATTAAATCATTTAATTATCCTTACTCATCTCTGTTGTTTCTTCAATCTTTACCTTACTTGGTGTACGATCCATTAAGTTCCTTTTAGTGAGGCAGTGAGCGATTAGAACTCTTCAAATTGATTGTGAATTGAAAATTACTTTCAATTCTCCCTTTAGTGATTATACACCTTTAGGGCTTCTACAAACCATGAGTAACACCTAGTAGTATGTTATGGCTACCCAAGCTAATCAGAAGAGGTGGAGAACCTATTCATTTTAGGATTATAATGCAATACGATATTTCTCTAATACAATACTCTTGACCACATTGTTTGGTTTGATAGTTTATTCATGTCTACTATCCAATGTGATTCTCTTACTTATATGATTACCTTGAATGTGATTTGGAACAACTTCCTAAATCTCATTCATACTCTGGCCATAGATTCTCAATCATATCATAGAGTATTCTCCCTCAAACGGTTTGAATGTTAAAGATCCCTTGTTGCGCATTCACTTGCCTCCATGGTTAAGTGGCTTAACCCCAACTATGTCGTGGACATCCTCTGACGGAGTGACTTTGACATAGTCAAAGATCAAGGACCTAACCACAAGACAACTATGATGCCTCAAGTCAAATGACTACTTTGCATTATCCCAACCATGAGTTCTCATGTGACATGAATATGAGAACTCCTTGTTAATCATGTTCAGTGGACTTATTCTCTATTAAGCACCTACATGCTTGTCTTGGTGTCAATAATACCAATGACTTGAGACCAATCACTCTCCCTAAGAGAAGACATAACACGTACTGATCTTAACAAACTGTTAATGCCCAATTGGCAATCCTATGATCAGGAACGTTTAGGATATGTACACAAAAGAGAATGGTCTCATGAATCTAACTTATTTAGATCACATTCTTCCAATTACATATTCCTTGGACTTATTGTTTAAGTATATAACATTTATATGAGACGGCTTAAAACAATAATCTTTGCCTTTATATTAAACTAGATTAGTTTAACATGTGAAATGTCCGTAAAGTATCATCATATGATTGGTTTTAGGGCACATTTCAACAGTCCGTTGAACTATTTGAATCAAACTGTGAGGAACTAGACTGAACAAGACTAAGAGAAGAAGCAGAAGGCATAACCATCACATTATCATTGTTTGGCACCAAAACAGGATGATAAACTATTGAGGTAATTACTGGAAAAGTGACTGGTTAAACAGAAGACACTAGGTTGGAATAAGGAAAGTCAAATTCATCAAGGATCACATGCCTTGATATATAAACCCTTTTCTTAGTAACCTCAAAACATATGTACCCTTTAAACTTAGAAGCATACCCCAAGAAAATACACTTTGTAGTTCTAGGTTGGAGTTTGGTACTGTTATAAGGTTTAAGTTGCGGGTAACAAGAGCAACCAAAAATTCTAAGATGTTGAATTTCTAGAATTACATGAAAGAGTAGCTCAAATGGAGATGTGTTATTCAATGTAGAAGATGGCATCCTATTGATAAGATAAACAGAGGTTTGAGCTGCATATGACCAAAATAAAGGTGGTAAGGAAGCTGTTTATAACAGTGTGATAGAGGTCTCAATGATGTGGCTATGTTTTGGCTCGGCTAAGCCGTTTTGCTCAGGGGTATAAGGACAAGACATATGATGAAGAATCCCTTTATTCAAAAGAAAAGCTTGAAAGGATTTCCCTATATACTCCCTCCCCTATCTATTTGTAATATTTTCACAGAGACATCAAATTGATTTGTAATGTATTGATAAAAGGAGACAAAAGTAGGGTAAACATCACTTTCATTGCTTATTGGAAAAATCCAAGTATATCGTGTACACTCATCAATGAAGGTTACATAATATTTGAACCCTTCAATGGAAAAACAAGGAGCTGGGCCCCACACATCACTATGAACTATCTCAAAAAGTTTTACAAACTTAAACTAAGACACAGGAAAATGAAGTTTTGTAAACTTTCCTTCTAAACAGGTAGAACACAACATAGACAGTGAATCAGTACTACAACACACTTTGGACTTTCTTAAAATTTGAGATACTATAGGATTCGAGGGATGACCTAGTCTGTTAAGCCATAATCTTGAATTGAGTTGCTGTCCAAGGTAAGCAGCATCATAGGCACGTTTTGAAGAAGCATTGGATGTTGGTGAGATAATATGATACAACCCATTATTGCACAGTCCTTTGTAGATTATCCTCCCTATGGTTTAATCCTGAATCCAGAAACAAAATGCATCAAATATTAACCAACAATTAGTATCCAAGAAGATTCGATGAACTGACAGCAGATTCTGTGTTAATTTGGGTACACATAAAACGGAATTTAATTTCAGAGAATGTAATGGAGTTTGAAGAACTGTGGAGCTAATATGAGATATGCCTAAACCTTCACCATTAGCAGCTTGCATAGTCTCATTTGATGGGTAAGGTGTTACAAGAGACAAATTCTGCAACTCAGTTGTCATGTGATTTGTTGCTCCCGAGTCGGTGAGCCATACTTGCTGAGATGAAGCAGATGGCTGTGGAGAATGAGACTAAGGTCCAGAGTTGGTGTGAGTATACATGGCATTCATTGAAACACTAGAATTCTTCTAGAAGAAAAAAACAGCACTATGATTAAAGTTCCCACATATTTGACACCCTGAATTAACCCCCAGCATTTCGAAAATGACAAATATTAGCAAAGTGATAATTTTTTCGACAGATTTGGCAGCCTTGAGAGACATGAGCATTTCTAAATCTACAAGTGTCTGCAAGATGATTATGCTTGCCACATATTTGACAAGTCATCAACGGAGAAGAACCAAACTGTTGTGGAGAGTTTCCCAAAATTCCAAGTCCAGAATTGGGAAAGAATGGCTTTTTATTTCCAAACCTGTTATTAGAATTAAACCTATCCCTGCCTTTATTCTTGTTATTGAAACCTCGATGACTGTTATACTAATAATTGGAGTTAGTATTCTGAGATGGAAAACCACCAGAGTTCTTTGAAGGAAAAACAGACTGTTAAGCAACCAAAGCAGTAAACAGAGGGGCAACATTCATAGTTTCAAGCATTACTTATTCAGCAAGTAACTGGGAACGAAGATCTTTCAATGAAATAACAGTATCTCGACCCCTAATGACTGACCGAATGGTATTGAACTCAGAAGGTTAACCATTCAATGTAAGAATTACAATATGATCATCCTCAAAATAAACACTAGCAGCTGACAAATAATCTCTAGCTTCCTTAATCTTTTGAAGATACAAAGTGATGTAATCATTACCTTTCTTGATAGTTTGCAGCTTAGATTTCATTTGGAAAATACTAGTTCGAGTAACTATGGAAAATTGTTCCTTCAGACGGGTCCACAAATCCAAAGGATTGGTGTTCCCAATTGCACAAGAAATTGTAGGAGGCGAAAAGGTTGCAAAAATGAGTTGCATCAAAGCTTTGTCATGCATTTTTCCAAATCTTGAAGGCATCAGATTCAACTCGAGCAGTAGTACTATCAGAAACAACTTCATAATCCCTAGATATCACATCGGAAAATCGAGGAGGACAAGGAGTAGACCCATCAACAAACCCCATAATTCCATAACTTTCCAACAAAAGCAGCATCTGAAAATGCTAGGTCAAGTAATTGGTATCATCCAACTTCATGATTACAGACGTAGAGACAGAGGAGATAAGAGATGTAATAGGCGATTGCAAGATTTGCAACTGAGAGACGGCAACCATTGTTGTAAATTTGCTTCACTGAAATTGACCGAGAACAAAGGTCGAACACTTGGTGTGCGTAAAACCAAACACGAATTCAAGAACCCTAATTTGAGCAGAAAAAACCCCAAATCAAGAAGCAAGATACAGAGGAAAGAATCGCATACATGTGTGAGCAGAAGCGGAAGCAGATACAGAATTCCCAGATCGATGAACCGTAAAGCTTTATGCTTATTCCGGCAAAGATACCATATAAACCAAGCTACGCATATATTAGAGAAGAAGAAGAAGATTGAGAGAAAGAGAGAGAGATGAGAGAGAAGACTTAGAGAGAAAGATATATCTCAATTGTATTGAAATGTTTTTCATCATCTATAACTGTTTCATTACAAGGGTACTTATACTATCTAAGGTAACTTACTAACTAAGCTATCTTCTACCAACCTTATAACTGCAAGACTAATCTATTGACATTTGGCAACATCTTAGCCATTCACTTAATACTCCTACCAAACAGCAGGGGCCTATGCAGGCAACCATTTCAATCAAGTGCTTTTGTATTAAAATAATTAATTGAAAATTCACAATAAATTCATTAGGAACCAGAAAAACGTCCAATATTTTAATTTCTCTCTAAAAGGAACAACTATAAATTCCTTCTATGGGTGTCGAATTTGGTATATTTCCCTTGATATATAAAATATGCATGGTTAGAGCCATTTTGGTTTGCTAATTAGCTCTAATCCATATTATTTTGCATAGCCCCAAAAATCCATCTCTCCACGCAACGAGAGGTGCTGGGGGTTAATTTGGTTGACAGAAGAGGGTGCATTTGCATCCTCATACCTGGCTGCTCCTTTGGACGACGAATCTTGATCATTTCCAAGGTCATGAGAAGTAACCAGGCGGTCGAGCATAGCCCATTCACTCATCCCCTGGTGATCATGATTATTATCTCTTCCGCCAGCTGCTCCAGCTCCTCCTGCAACCGTATTCAGTTGATGGTTTGGTTCGCACGTGCCAACCTCTAACACTGGCTCACACGCTTGGTACCGGAGGCCCTCACTGCCACTTTCACAGTCTCTAGGGTTTGTCATGAGCTGCTTGACCATGCCGTGGCTAGGTGAATCGTCGGAGGGGAGCTGGGATGAGTAGTCGTCGCAGGCGGAAAGGGGCTTGTGGGCGAAGGTCGGGATAAGGGCTTGGGATTGGAAAGGAGAGTAGTGAGGGGGTGGCTGCAGGTGGGCGTAGTGAAGGCTTGGGTTGTTGTTTAGCTCGAATGCTTGGGTTGCTGCATGGAGTTGTTGGCGTAGTAAGTACTGGTTGTCTCCGTGGCTATGCATGAAGGAGCGAGCTTGCAATTGGCTGTTGGTTGATGTATTTTTGAGCTGCTGATGGTCTGAAGAGTTCATGCTAGAGCTTCCTCCTTCATTTGCAACCTTGAATAAATTTTTCTTCTTGAAAACCCTGCAGATCACCCACCCATCTTCCTGCATGTGTTTGCAATATTTATCGTTACCAATTAAAATCTCCGAATTAAAGAAAGATATATTAGGTAACAAAAATCCTAAACCCTATCTAATTAATTTCCTTATTATATATAATATAACATAAAGTGACGATCGAGATAACATATAGACTGATGAAAATGAAATAGAGATGGAGATAGTAGTGCATACACTAGATAGGTTTCCATGAGGATCATCACTATCTTCCAGGCGGTACTCGTGCATAATCCAGTCAGTCTTTTGGCCGTGGGGAGCTCTGCCTCTGTAGAAAACAAGGGTTTTTCTCATGCCAATCTGCTTGAAGGTGTTTCTGATGCATTTGTCCCGCCCTGTTGCCTTCCAAAACCCAGCCTTTGTAGCCCTATTTGTCCTCGACCCTGTTGGGTACTTCCTGTCTTTGTGGCTGAAAAAGTACCACTCATTTTGTGGAGTCGACCCAATCCTACATCTCTCTGTGTACTTGCACCAAAAAAAAAAAAAAAAAATTACAGATTATATAGGATTTAGGGTTTTTATTGTGTGTGTCAATAAGTTAAAAATGCATCAGAAACACCTTCAAGAAAGACCAGCTAATTATTTCTTTACAAGAAATGGTATACTTACGATTTATTTATACCATCATGTGTATTATCTCACTATTAGATATGAGACTCATCAACATATATGGAATAGAGATAGTACAAATAAATAATGGTATAAATAAATGGTAAAAATAATATTTTTGTTTACTAATTCCATCAGCTTTTCTAGCGTGTAAATTCCCGCTTGTGAGTGTTAAGTTATATGATGCATTTGTTAATATTCCTTGGTTTATATTCATACATAAATTGTTCAACCAAACCAAGGTGTTCTTTGAATCTAATTGTCAAAGCCTATTAGTCAAGACTCAACCAATATTGATATAATTTAGCCTCCCTAACATTACTTTTTTTAAAATAAATTTGCAAATTAAATAATGTGTTACCAATAAAAAATAAACACGCTAGTCAACACTTAATAATAATCCAATTATTAACAACCACATCATTCGATTTACAAAATTTGGTTTAAGAATTTGATCTCTCTAGCATACCCTTTTACTTTTAATGGAATTGCATAAATTGAGAAACTTGTTCAAATCTTTTAAACGTTATTTTTTTCCTCCTCTTTGTATCAAATTTTTTTCTACTCCAGCTACAATTATGTTAAAAAAATCTTGACCGAAACCAATTAAGATCGAGTAAAGACAATCTTGAAGAAAAACATTAACAAAGTTCAAAGTTGAATATATTAATCTCAATTAACTAGAAGCGAAGCTTATTAGGTGTTTCCGACCAGCTTATTATTAGAAACGAAGCTCTTGAGCAAATTAACTAGATCGTAATTGAGCTCAAAGTAAAATTAATATAATTGCAAAAACATAAACAAGTTTTCATACCTTGCAAGTCCCAAGGTTCCATCTTATTCAAGTCCACCTCTCTAATGACCTCCATGTCAAACTTCTGAAAGGACACCTTCTTCTTCAAATAGTAGTGAAGCAACTCTTCGTCCGTGGGGTGGAATCGGAATCCCGGAGGCACACCACCACTCGATGAATTAGCCATCAATCTTCACTTATACCAATCTCAAATATGTATATACGATTCAATCTCAATGTAAAATAGATATTTGCACTAAACAATTACGTTAGCTAGCTCGTGCTATAGAGGTTTAACCCTTCTCTCTCTCTCTCTCTCTCCTCTCACTCTCTCTCTCTCTCTCTCTCTCTCTCTCTCTCTCTCTCTCTCTCTCTCTGTGTTTTGAGTTTGAGCAATGAATCAAATTTTATGTGGGGATGTTGTCATGGGGCTTAAATATCATTCTAATTGTCAACGGGGGCTATGATTTATAGGAAATGGTTGACGGCCGGTGACGACGCCAACGGAGATGGTTAAAGGTATCGTAAAGCTCAAGTCTACGGAACGAGACGACTAGGATGGCTTTTTCGCTATAATTTACACTTTGTGCTATCTTCTTCACCTGCTTAACTTGGAGGGTGGCTACACTTTCGTCCAATCTACTCATCAATAACAGCGCCATGCACCTTTGGAGATTTTACTTTGTATTATTTTTTTGTTGGAACACTTTGGATATGGTCTCTAACTATCAATATTTTTTTATTGAAACTTTGTCTATTTTTAGATTTTGATCGAAGTCCCTGACATTAATGTAATAATATAAGTTACTATAGTTTTTAAATTAAAAATTAAAAATTGAAATGTGTACTTGTTTATATTAATGAGATTTTAAATAAAACGCATAATTTGTGGGATTAAAAATATTAAAATATAAATTATACTCTCTATTATATTGTGTGTACACACACACACACACACACACACACACACACACACATATATATAGGTACATTCATCAAATTAACAAAAAAAAAAAATTATTGTATCAAAACATGGTTACATTCTTCAAAAACCACAAGAAAAAAAAAGATATTAGGCTTAATAATATTAGTAAATTTCTTCAATTAAACTTGACATGGATACATTCTCAAATCAACGAAAAAGAATGTACCCATATAATTTTAAAAATAGATTAAAAAAATTTGAATGGATTTTATATTAAAAAGTTAGGTAAATTTTATATTAAAAAAGGGTACATTTTACATATAACAAATTGGTATATTTAAGAATGGTACATTCAAGATTAAAAAAAATTGAAAATTATATGAATGGGTACATTTAAGATTAAAAAATTGAGAATCTTTTTATAAAAAAAAAACTAATGGGTACAAACTTATTCTAATTTATTATTATTATTTTTTTGGAAATGTTTGAATCGAAAATTAATTAGGAGTTTAATAGAGGTGTGAGTATTAAAACCCTAAATCAATTACTAATTTTTATTAAAAAAAATTATGTAATTAACATGTAAATTCATTATCACATTAATGCTAGGGATTTCAATCAAAATTTGTCAACTAATAAGGTCTCAGTCAATAAACATTAGTAATTAGGGACCGGATACTAATTTTTCTTTTTTGGTTTCATAATACTTAAAAACAAAAAGATTACCTTTCAAGCTACTGGGGTTAAGCCCAATGCTGAACGCGAGTTGCGTGATGGATAAGAGACTAAGTAATTCTTAGTTCGAACCATCCAAGATAACCTTACTCTTCGGCCTCTTGTTACAATGTGCGGCATTTTGGGTCACAACTTCATGTGGTATGTAGAGATCTGGTTACCAATTGAAGTTTAAAGGAACATTATTTTCAGAAATAAAACTCTTAGCTTCGGTTCGATGTACGTATATAGGTTCATATGTGGTATATATTAGTTAACTGTCCTTGATTTGATCTATCAGTTAATCCATTCAACTCATGACATAGCTACATATGTGAAACTGTCTCTATCTTGTTTATAGAGACATAATTAGCATGTCTCCTTCTATCATTAGAGGCAATACAACTACAATTGGCAACCTGTTTGTTTCATTGGTGTTGCTATTGGTGTTTAGGAACATAAAGAAGGTCTGTCTCTCAATAGAGTACTCCACCAAGTCTTTATCAAGCCTTGATTATCTGTACCAAACTTTCCATCAACATTCATCATTCATAATCACCTGCTTCACTTATCAATCAAACATATGATATGTTAGGAAGACCTATATTGTACGTACTCTTTCTCTAATAGATTTACGACTCACCAATATAAGTAGGTCTAACTTTTATTAGAGAGGATGCAATGTAGTGTCCATACAAGGATTTTCCATCCTGTAAGGGGATGTCGTTCCACCCATACTCATTTCTGTTCCACATACCTACTCCTGTCGATTCATATGATTTCCTCCATTTTCAAGTAAGCACATACAAAAAGTGTTAAGTAATTAAATCAAGACTTAGGGCTGGTTTGGTATTACTGTGCTTTGAAAAAAAACTGATTTTGCTGTGCTGCGAGAATAAGCAGCTGTGAAATAAAGCAGCAGAGTGTTTGATAAATTTTTTTGTAAAAGTGCTTTTGAAAAAAAAAAAAAAAAGAGCAATATTATAGTGTTTGATAAACTTTTATGTAAAATAGATGGGAAAAAAACTGGTTTTTCAAAGCTGGGTTTTGCAGCTTTGTGTTTTTGGCTTTTTTTCACCCAAAACTGTGAAAAAAAGCTGAAGTTGGATGTTTACCAAACATAAAAAAGCTCCCAACTTTTTTTGATAGTCACTTTTTTCAGAATCATCTCAGTACCAAATTAGGGCTTAAGCCAACGAGCCCCATCAAATTTGAACTTTGATCCTTAATGATCATGTACAATCCACGCGCTCCATTGTGACTTTGGAGTAGCTCTTGTTAACTAGTTTTCTAGTTAGTTTAAAGGCACTATATATTTAAAGCAATAAACGATCCCAAGAAAATAAGAAGCAAAATATAACTATGGGATACTTGATTGTTTCCAAAGCAATGCTTGGAAAACCAGCTACTAAGCCTTCTTGGGATTTTCGCATTTGATTGGACGGCTGCAGTTTTATATGCATTATTGGCAATATTCATATTAGGTTTAATGGTATTGGGTTTGGTCTTAAATCTTAATATCAAACAATTGGAGACGCAGTCGCCATAGCTCGAGGCTAGAGATCGATCGCACATGTATGATGTATGTAGGAGGATGACCTTCAACTTCAAGGGCTTCAGATTAACAAGTCACTTGATTGAACTGCACTCTTCCTTTCTGTTTTATTGTGATTTGATTTATTTATTATCCTTTCTGTGCGGGTCTACTCTCTACTTATCATCTTAAGCTGTTTAATCTGAGGATTTCATTTTCTTTGACGTACAATGTTATCAAGCCATGCATGAGACCAACCACGAGTGTAGGCTTAGGCTTAGCTAGTTAATTATAGTATGCCACATGCATGACATGAATAATTTGCTCAATGCATATGGCTCCGTTTCTCCAAGTTTCATCCATTTCATCTACTTTGTCTTTGATCATCATCTACTCTTTGCTCTTGTTGCCTAGGCTATTTTCTAGAGTAATTTTTTTTTATAAAATTAATATAATGTTATGATATTGACAATATATTAATCAAATTTCAATGAGATTTTAAGGTACACTATAACAAAAAAATTTACTAATTCATGCCACTACAGTTGCTAGCGTGCAAATCCTTTGATTTCGAATCAGGTCAATCTCATGCATCACTTACACATCTCCTACACTTCACACCTCGTATGACTTTGTGAATTCAGATATTACGTTGTAGTACGTTTGTCTCCTGGTTCTGTTTTTTATTTTGTTTTTACATTTGGATTTAGACACTACATTGTAGTGTTCATTTCTAGTTTATCTTCTACATTTGGATTTAGACTCTGCCTTGCAATCACCGTTTTTGGTTATGCATTTACATTTGGAGTCAGACTTTACAATGCAATGTCTATTTATGGTTCTGGTTTTACATTTGAATTCAGATTCTACAATGTTGTGTTTATTTTTGTGGTTCTACTTTCCTATGGATTGTCTTCAAGTTTTAGAATGGTGCAATTTTTGTGATGGTTCCATACTCTATGACGTCTTCAATGCACTTTCAAATCTTATTCTAAGGCACCGTTTGAATATGATTCGTTAAAACATGCCATCATCAACAATTTGTGTCTTTTTTGTAAACTACATTGGAAGAGGCATGAAACTATCAAAATTACAGAGAAGAAGAAGAAGATGAAGGTTTAGAAGGAAATCAAAGCTTGTATTTGATAGTTGAACAAATTACATAAAATGAGAGAGAATTTGCAATTTATACTAGCCTACAAAGTAACTAACGCTAACCTTCTAACAAACTCTTACTAGACCAATCTCTACCATTCAATCATAAACCAATCTCCACCATACATCTATTAATACTCCCCCTCAATCTCAACTGGGGTATCACAATTTGAGATTGCAGCAAAGTGAGAATGAGATAAACTGTTGAGCACTACAATTTGAGACATCTACTTCTCTTTGCAATCTCCGAAGTGGTCTACCCTGCACTTGGTTCAGACTCCAATATATGACTCTTTTGCTCTGATACCGTGTTGGATTTTTGGATCGTTAGCCCCGCCCCACTCTAACGACACCAATACTGTCCCCAACTTTATCACCTGCCCAATCCGTCAGGTGTGGGGTTTTATCACAAAAGGCCTCGGTGGTATTAGTTAGAGTGGGGTAATCCTATTTAAACCCCTTTTGTTTCTTTTGCACCCACTGATGTGGGACTCCCCTCACATGTAACCCCATTTAGTGGTTCACACGTGGAGATCCACACATCGGTAATTGAAACTTAGAGGTCGGCTCCAATGGAGTCCAAACTTGTTTTCAATAGAACTCAGTGGCCGGCTCTATGTTAAGAGTCCTAACTTGTTTCCTTCTTGGTGACAAGCTCGTTGGCTTGCACGGGCTCGAACCTACCATGTTAACTACATTGAAAGAGGCATGAAACTATCAAAATTACAGAGAAGAAGAAGAAGAAGGTTTCGAAGCAAATCAAAGCTTGTATTTGATAGTTGAACAAATTACAGAAAATGAGAGAGAATTTACAATTTATACTAGCCTACAAAGTAACTAACTCTAATCTTCTAACAAA